ATAGTCAATTGCTGATCGTCCAGTGGCTCACAGAGACAAAGGTAGGCTCCCTCCATCCTGCAACCTGCTGCGTCCTGTCTTGGGCCCATGATATCTCACTGAAGAGAAATTGTGGTTGGTGTAAACATGACTGGCCAGTGGCTTGAGGCAAGGGACTGGCCAGCAACCGGCTGGTTTTAGCTTGATTCCTTGGCTACTTGTCTGTAACAGTGGGGATCATTGTCCACTTGCTCGAGAGAGCTGAGCTCCCTGGCAACTTGTCTGTAAGAGCGTGAGTCATTGTCCACTTACCTGTGGGAGCTGATTGCACTATCAGCACGATTTCAATCATTATCCATTTACCTGTGGGAGAAGATTACATTCTCAGTTACATTTCAAGTTAATGTCCACTTACCTGTTGGTGCCGAGCTCTTGCCAGCCCAACGCCTACCAGAGTAGCACTCAACTACCCCATCCAATTTGATTGTGGCTCTTTGCTCGTTGTCCTGTGGCTCAATGGCTCATCAGCGCAGGGACCCATTGGTACTCTTGTCTTAAAAAACAATGCCCAGAAAGAGAGAACTGTGCAGGCGCTATCTTAGAACTGCTTCTAAGAAGTGCTGAGGAACTGACTGGAAATGGGAGAATAAGAGGTAAGCTGTGAAACAGTGCCCATGGCTGATTGGAATTCAGCTGTACGGAGGAGTATTTCCATTCACTTCAATGGGCCTTGGATCTGGTTCTGGGAATGACATGAACAACAAGAGGCAAGGAACACTTGGTGTTTGTGAAGAAGCCCAGCACTGCCCTGCAGGGAGTGTGCGTAGGGCAATGCCTCAGCAATGGCTATCCAGGGGTGGGAGAAATGGCCCTGGGAAGAGTTGGCAGCCCCATTGTCTGGAGCATTTAAATCCAAAGTAGAACTAAGTCTTGAGTAATGCGCTGCAGAGAAACATCCTGCACTGGCTTATTGTGCAGAGACGGGCTTTGTTAATGAGACCCACTGGAGGGCTTCTCCATCTCCAGTTTCCAATTGCAGACCTAAACTCTCCGGGGATTCAAATGAGCAAGTCTGGGGCTTGGAAGGGTGACTATTTCTCAGCCTATCCCACCTTGTGCTGTCACTGCAAGTCCTGATTTGGGCCCTCCATCTTCCTGATCTTCCCTTGGAGACCCCAGGACTTTCCCCAGTAAATGGCGCATTGCCATAGTTAGTGGAGTCCTCTCATTCCTTGCCTCCTCATTCCTTCAGTCTCAACAGCACAGTCCCAGTCACCCTCCAACTCCTTCATAGCAACGGGGCAATGGGGGACAGAATGTTTCCAGCCCAATGGTCTTGGCACAATCAGCCACTATTGTGATGTCATCGGCTCATCACAGGTTCATTTCATATCAGGGAGCAGAGGTTCTCTGTGGTCATACCAACAGCTTTAGTGTGACTGAATAACCCTTGAATCCCCACAGCATATAAGGCACAGAGTACAAAAGGGTTTTTCCATATAGAAATGCATCCTCTCGAGACATCCCTTTCCTCCATAGCCCTCTTTGCCTGCCCTGCGTATCCAAGGACCTTGCCAGGTCCTAGTGTTAAGATCCAGTCCCTGCAGTCTTTATACAAATTAAATTGCTATTGAAACTGCCTCAAGTTTTGTTTGCATGTACTAGCGCTTGCTTATTCTCTCAGTTGTGACTCCAGGGACCCATTCTCACTCCTTCTCCACGCAAGCCTTGTTTTCACTGTATATACATTCTTTGGTTGCATTTTTGCTCCCAAGAGCTTTCTAACTAAATCTCCTTACTATTGTGATTCCTGCTTTTTCATATGCCCGAGGGACTTGTTATCTCTCCCAAGTTACGGTTGAAGCAAATTTCTCATTGGAGCCTGATTTTCATATACTTTCCCAAAAGAAATGCAGTGAGCCTGAAATTGCACCTGCCACATGTCATCCCTGGGGAGAAATTGTCTCTAATGTCTGGTGGAAGTCACACAGGTGCTCTTAGAGAGTTGGGGCCAGATTTTGATTTCATTTATACAGGATTTGCAGTGGGGGAAGTCCATTAATTTCAATGCGCTACTCCAGGTTTACCCCATTGAGAGATCAAACTGTAGTTAGGCCCCTGGCTGGCTCAAATTTTTCTCTGTTCCATTTTCTGAGTTTTACTAAGGTTATTTATCTTCCCAGAACCCATGGCATATTATTATGAAAAAGTGAACCTGATTTATCATTTGGCTGTTGAGGAACAGAAGGTCCTTTCATAGATTATTCTGGTAATTGTAGAAGGTATTGACAATTCATTTCCTGCCAATAAAAATGCCGGTTTAAGCCTAAAGTGTGAATTATATATGTTATATATATTACCTTATATTCAAATTTACATTTAACATGGAACAGAGTATCAAAGAAATAAATGACTTAAGCACACCTAGAATTAAACAGGTCTTATTGTGTGAAGTGAATATTTTTGGGGGTGCTGTCATCCTTCAAAGCTGACTTCTTTTGTGGAGCTATTCATCATTGTTGACTGACTATGACTCCCTCTTTTATCACCCTGGCTCACCATCCTTTAATTAGTCTATAAATACTAAGGATGGGTTTAAAACTGTTTGCATCGGATCCATCCAGTTAGGAAATGTAGCCTGATGGACTGAATACAGGTTGGGAGTCAAAAAGTCTCAAATTCCAATCCAGGGGCTGCCACAGACGTGATCCGGGGAGATTTTGAACATTTCCCTCTAAGTTACCTGGAAACCTCAGTCCCATTTTCAAAAGGACCTTAGATGCTTTGGGCCAGGTTCACAAATGGATGTAGGTGTCACTGGCATTCACAAAACCACTGCTCAGCTGCCACTTAACTCTAGAGGTACCTAACTTCCTTAAGCACTTAATTTATTTGCTCCAAAAGTCCCCGAGGCATATAAGTTTCTGCTGCTGGGCAGGTGCTCAGACACCTATATGTTGCCTAAGCTGCAGCAGGATTCTCAAAATAGGCATTGCCCTACTTATCTTGCCTACAGGGCTTGATCTAGTAGGTGTGCTAAGACCTTGCCTGACTATACAAAATGCGAAGGAAGCAGGAGGACCTTTAGCCCAATGTGGCTACTCATCCAAAATGTGGGAGACCCGTTTGTTTCTCCCAGCTGCCTGAGGAGAGGCATTTGAATATTGGTCTCCTAACATCCTAGGTGGGTGTCCTAAGCAGTGGGCTATGGAGTCATTCTCACATGCTCTCTGGTCCACTGCATATTTAATTATTTACACAAGTGGAACAGCTTTGACAGGAGGAGAGAAACCCACATCAGAATATCCCATAGCCCAGTGGTTGGGGCAGTCATCTGCACAGTGGGAGCTTCAAATCCTAGCTCATCAGGCACAGGGAGGAATTGAACAGGGGTCTCCCATATCCTCAGTGAGTACCCTAACCACTGGCTTAAAGGTTATAAGGGAGGTCATTCTTGCTCCCTAGCTCTTGGTGTGGAGTTGGGTTTACCATTGCCTTTCTTGCAAGAAATGGCTTATGCACCTGACTCCAGGAGAGCACTGCTGGCTGTGAATCCCGAGCAGAGCTAAGCATCTCCCTTCTGCTCCAGTTTAGGCACTTAACTCTCTTTGAGAGACGTGGCTTAGGACACACCCCTCTCCTTGGCCTCGACTATGGGCTAGGTCAGGTGGCTCTCCACTCAGCACGCCGACTTTTGTGGATCCCATTCTAAGGTGTCTAACTCACCCCCTGTATTGTATAGGGAACCTGGGCACCTAAATCTGGGTTTGTGAGTGCCACTGGGTGCCTAAAAGTTAGGCACTGCAATGCTGAGCTTTGGTTTCCCCTTGTGAATCTAGCCCTAAGTCACTTTTGAAAATGGGGGTCAGGCTTCTCGGGTCCCATAGACTATTCTGAAAATCTTACCTTTAATCTTTCTGCCTCAGTTTCCCTACCGGTAGCATGGAAATAGTAATTTGGGGATTACAAAGTGCTTTGAATATTTAAGACACTATATAAATACAAGTCGTTACCCTGTTTCCAACAATGCTTCAGAGGAGAGCACAGGAAAAGTTAAGAGTCAGCAGGTTCACGAGGAAAGTTTCTTCCTAATCCCATCCGTTATGGGAGGGTTTATCACCTGAGGAATTAAACTGTTTTAAATTATTTTGGGGGTGGGGGGGTGTTGCTGTTTTTAATCCCTGTCATTGTAACTCTGCATGTTCTTGTTATCCATATAAATGCCCAATCTTTTTTGGATCTTGGCCTCCAGGATAGTTTGTGGTAGTGAGTTCCATAGGTTACTTGTGCACTGTGTGAAAATGGGTTTCCTTTTATTAGTCTTTCAGCAGTCTAGATAGAAGTACCAGTGTGTCCAGTTGCAACTAGACTCCACGTCGGCTCTGTACTGTGGCTCTCTGGAATTTGGCTTCATTAAAGTCTTTAAGGATCTGACATCAGTTCACAGATTTGCAGTGTAGTTGTAGCTGTGATAATCCCAGGACATTAGAGAGACAAGGTAGGTGAGGTAATATTTTATTGGACCAACTTCTGTGAGTGAAAGAGACACACTTTTGAGCTTACACAGAGCTCTTCTTTAGGTCTGGGAAAGGTATTCAGTGTGTCACAGCTAAATACAAGGTGGAACAGATTGAGCACAAGAGTTATGCATGTTGTAAGAGACCATTCAAGTTGAAGAGGGTAGTTAACACCTCTGCAGATGAAGGGCCATGTCTACACTACAGAGTTAAGTCAACTTAAATTATGTCAATGATCATAAGTCACTTTAATGACATCGATGGAGCACGTCCACAAAATGCTCCTTGTGTTAGCAGAGCGCAGTATTCATAACCTTTAAAATAACTGAACTAAGAATCCCTTGAACAAATAAGTGGTATGAATATGTTTATAGTATGGGCACCTTGACAGGAATTTATGGTATATACTTTACATGGTGTGCTCCATTTTGAAGTAGGGATATCTTGAAACTCTTGTATAAATCGATCACACTGATGAGTATTGTATTTATTTTTACGTTTTTATTAGAGAAGTTGAAAGTTTCATCTCAGAACTGACAATAACAATCTCTTTTCATTTAATTTGTTTATAGGAATATGTAGAATTGGTTTGTACAAGCATATACAACAACTTAATTGGTGCTTAGTATAATGAAATCAGTAATCTGATTTGTTCTAAACTACCAGTTTTCCATGCAGTCTCCTTTGTATTGGCAGCATGGGCAAATTCCAAGCAGAATGCTTACATGCATTGTTCTGCAATATAACTACAGCAGGCTTTAAGAACATGCAAATTAACACTGTAGCAAATTGTTTTCATATCTAACAGACATAAAAAGGTTATTCCTGATATGAAATTCTGAAAATCTGCATAAATATTTTTGTGTAAAATTAAATTAGTTATGTACTTTTCTTTTAACTAGAACTTGAAGTATCAAGAATGCCCACATAATTCATATACATATATATATATAGGTCTTGTTATGCTAAAAGTCTTCAGAATGAATCAAATAATATTTGGTGACATACATTTAATCTGTATTTATTGACTAGTAGAATGACTGTGGTCATACGGTTGGCATTAAAGTCATAACTGGTGATTGTATCACATGCAAACATTTCTAGTAATTCAGTTTACTAATTTTGTCAGTGGCAACATTTAGGTGATTTTCTACAATATTGTGATTTAAAGTGTATAAATACTTTTTACATTTTCACAGTTACAAACTTTTTGCCAATAGTCATTTAACAATCTTTAAGATACAATGAACTATAATATCTGGGATCTGCAGCAACAGGATCAAAATGCAATTTCTATACAAGCAATGGATGATGTAAACTTTTCTTAAAGTGCCTAACACATAATTCCTTTAACTTTAGAGCACTGATTAGTTTTGGCACAAAACAATGTATTTCTACTATGGTAACCATTTCAACAACTTTTACAGGATGTTAGTTTCTGTCAGGAATGATAAAGTTGACATGGCACTTGCTGAGGGCATAATTTTAATGTGGAAATATCCTGCAAAATCACTGTTATCCCAGTGTATTAATTCTGCTGATGAGTTTAGATATTTGTACTTTCCAATACATGCAGCTAATTTTCAATTGCTTAGTTTGCTGCAGCTCAAAAATGTGTGTGCAATAGAAAAAAAATCACCAAAAGAGACTACATCTTTCAGATGAAGCTGATGATTTTTTTTATTATTATTTAGTAGCAGATCCATTTAAAAGGCTTGATGCCATGAGTTGCTGAGTGCCTCCTAGCTCACAGCATCTTGCAGGATTGGGGCTAATACAATAACATACCAAGCATGAGAATAAAAATGGTAAACAGCATGTTGTTTTGATTATGATTGTGTTACCATCTGAGCTTATGTTAAAATAAAAGAAACATGGTGCTGTATTTTAAGGCCCTGTGTCAACAATCCTGACACAGGAAAAAACACCCACTGAGATGAATGGAAGGTTTCCTGAACAGGGAGTACAGGACTGGACTTTAAAATGTGTTGTGCCTCTTTTTTAATAGTGTTTTGCTCAATAAGAGAATTTCAGTACTCAGTGTTAAAAAGGAATATGCAAAACCTTAAGACTTGGTGGTCTGTGTCTACACTTTGTTTAAACTGAAGGGAAAAGAGCAAAAAAGCTCACTTTCCCCCCTCAGCAATGATGGTTGGAATTTTATGGATACTGGCTTTCCTGGCTTCAGTTTGCATGCTGCAGTTTTAGACTACTGTTGCTGGCCTGCGGTCCATCTCTGCTTCCAGCTTCACCATCTGCTGCATCTCCTTTGCCTGTAACCCAAAATAATCACGTTGTTTCATCATGGAGTATCATACTAAAGCTTGGGTTCAAAATCAAATACATTTTCAGCACAATAGTATTTGAGTGGAATATATGTAATGTGACCATTCTCCCCCTCAGAAAAAATCTGCATATTTTCAAACATCGCTGTTAATTTTCTGCTGGTGCTTATAAGTTACCAAATACGAGGAAACATTCCTAGGATTTATGGGCAACTTTTCAAAGACACACAATAAAATGCATCTGAAAGCCTCACATTGTATGGAGGAAAATCATGCTGTTTCTGACTGAATGGCCTCTGGAAATGGCACAATGTCTTGGAGACACCCTATATCAGCCCTGGTTGAGTTTGGACTGGTGTTGCTTGGGAAACTAAGGGTTACAACCTATCATCTGGACCCATTTTCTGCTGGCCAAGGAAAGACAATGACTGGTGTGAACGATTATTGGACTTACTGATGGCAGAGATGTTGACATCTTCCTTACGGTGTCCAAGATGGTTTCATCTAGCTTAGTGATTTTATCTGTTTATTTTGGCTGTAGCTCTTGCTTCTGGCATCCGTGCTTTTGTTGCCTCAAGATTAGGCTACTGCAATGTGCTCTACATGGGGCTACACCTTGAATCCACCTGGAAACTGATGCTGGCACAGACTGTAGTAGCCCACTCGTTAAGCAATATATTTCAATACACGTTCTTGGTTTGTAAATAGAGTTAAAGGTGTTATTTATACCCTCTAATGCCCTAAATTGCTTGGGACCTACCGACTTGAGAGGCTACCCCTCAGTTCAAAGTGGGGGGGCGGGAACGGCACCTACCCCTGTGCATTTTCCATGAGGACCCTTCAATTTGGGAACTCACTTATCATCCTGATCCAAAATTACCTGAATATGCTGTCCTGTCTGTCTTTACAGTCCGTCTTCTGGGGATAGGGGATGCCTTAAGATTGAAAATACCCTCGCGTCTCCCATATGCCAATCTTTTCCCCAGTGTGAGTGGCCTCTCTGCTGCTGCTATACAGGGAGGAGTGGTCGCTGGATTTGCCTTACGGTGTGAATTGTGTATTCCGATAAGTTGTAAAGGTGCCTATCACTTGGGATAGGCATTTTTTATCTAACTCAATAAAGCAGCTCCTACTCAGGGAGTTACATATTCGGTGCATGCAAACAGGTATTTCCAGATGTAAAACTGGGCAAATGAAGGTCCAAAAGAGTCATGTAGATGCACACTTACCTATTTTGCAAAAGTACATGTGGGTTTGTGTAGGTGCTATAGATGTACCCCTCTCTGAATAGTTAGCTCTGTGCATTCACCATCATATTTTGTATACTCAGCTAATTATGATAATACCAAAGGCAACTGTATTAAATATTATAAATGCCTTGTAATCGCACTTTACGTTCCTATGACTTTAAAGTTTGAAATAAATGAAATAATTTGTAGATGAAAATATGGAAACATAACATTAATAAATGAATCAATGTGTACAGCCTTTTCTGAAATACTAGAACTGACTTGCGTGTTCACTCAGTGTGTGAATTCTGCAAGTGAAAATGAAATTCCAACTAAAATGCAAACTGTTTGACACAGCTTGTATTTATTTCTTAGTAACTGAAGTGTCTCTCTGAAGTGCTAATGTGGTCCCTAATACCTGAGCACCTCACAATCTTCATCCTCCCAACATCCCAGTGAGGAGGGAAGTAATGTTATCCCCATTTTACAGAGGGGGAACTGAGGCACTGAGAGACTAAGGGCTTTTCTACATGAACATATAGTTCACAGAAAGCTGTGGTGTGAATCTACCCCACACTAGCCTGCCATGCACTAACTGTCCATATGGAGCCTGCTGATGCACCTTAGTTCATTTCAAATAGGACTAGATCAAAGCACATTAGTGAATTGTTAATAGCTGTCAGCAGGGTCCACCCAGACAATTCGAGAGCAGCAGGGTAGTTTTATACCCCAGCTTGCCACAAACCAAATGATCATGTAGACAGGTCGGAGGTGACGTGTCCTTGCCCATGGTCACACAGGAAGTCTCGGGCACAGCAGAGACTGGAACCCCAGGCTCTCAAGGCCTAAGCCAGTGGTTTTACCACTGGACCATTCTGTATCTCATGAGCAAAGCCCTGTAACTGTTTTGCAGATTAGTTTAGCCAGAAGGGTGTAGCTGTAAAGTGAATTTAGTTCAGAATAACCCTACACCATATGGCCAGGCTGCCGGTTTTTATCAACTGACGGTCAGCCACTGCATTCTGAAGTGAACACATGAATAGGATACAAAGCTACACATGAGCTTTGTAGAAGTAAGTACTTGGAGTCAATACGAATTCACGTAGTTAATGGGACCTATGCGTTCAATTTGCAAGGTGCTGTGTGCCCTCATCTTCAATGGGATTTGAGGGTACTCAGCACCTCACAGGACTGAGTGCATCAAGGATAGAGTGCTGGCTGCCAGCCAAATTAATGCTTTGTATAAATGTCTATCTCTAACTCAGTATAGTTACAGTAGATGTGGATAGACTGGGTTTGAGGATGGGACCCCAGTAAATTATCGACTGAAGATTTAAGCAGGTCATTAAATTCAGGCAAAATTCAACAACTGGCTGGTTAAACCTAACACACATATTTTACTGCTGTTGAGAGAAGGGGTTAATATGAGTGATGGTTATTAGGAAGCTATAACAGGAAAGCTACAATAGTGTGATTAACAGATTCCCAATAGCTGGAAGCCTCTTTTCTTTAGCCACTAAAAAGCTATTTCTAGCTGTCTAATATATTTCTAGCTATTTTTAGTGTATTTTATTTTACTTTTATTATTCTTATGCTAATATATGTGGAAAATCTGGCTTTGTCTGTCTATCAGCATTAGCAGTTAGTCATATATATGTCAACACTAAAATAGTTTCCTTAATCGGTAGATGCTTTTTAGAGACACACTTTAGAATTTCAAGCATGTCTTTAACTAGCTACTGAAAATATAACAATACAAATCATTCTTTAAGTTTCCTGTCCTCGTTACTATAAGAATGTATCTGGGGGTCTGAGATGCTAGAGCATAAGATACTGTTACTATGTCAGACTCTTAATAATATTTATGCACACTAAATATTTAACAGTGTATTTATTATGTTAATGGCATTTCCCGGTGGTTGCATTTACAAAGAGTGCTCCAATGAGAATGATTTAATTTAGAAGGAAAGCATATTGAAATAGTAGCTTGCTTAATATAGATCAATCCTACCTTGTGTTTGAGACACTGCATGACAGGATTTCAAAAGCTGTTTGTACAAAAATAATAATGTCAAAATTGAGTAATACAACAAGAAGCAAATAAAATGAATGAAAACTGAAGTGAGATTGAGGAATGAATGCAAGAAAAGAATACATAAAACAAAAGTCTAATGAATGTGAATGCATAATATTTTATGCTGAAGTGTGTTTCCACTCATAGGTGTATTAGTCTGCACTGTACATCTGCTATGAAAGATATCTCCACCAGTATGATGTGGAAGGGATATTTAATAACTTGAAGTTTTGATCCAGTTAACTGGAACACATATGACCATTAGCCAGGTATCAGTGCTCTGGGCCTGATTCTCCTCACACTCAGACTAGTGTACATCACAAGTAAATCCAGTGAAGTCATGGAGTTACATCAGTGGGAAACAAGCATGACCCCAGAATCAGTCTCACAGCCTTTTATGATAACTCTGTATGATAAATTCCCTGCAGAATAATTAACACTGAGGCAACTTTCTAAGGCTGAGAAATCAAACACCCAAAATCAAATACTCAAAAGTAAGGAATTACCGAGTTTAAGTTAAAAGCTCAGCCCTAATCCTGCTCTCTTGTCTTTATATTGTGCTGGATCTAAAGACTCTCACTGACTTAAGTAGGCTTTGGATCAGGCCCTTAATCTTTTTTATATCTTCATACATTATTTTGTCAACTAGTACAATTTACACTGCAAGGGAATTGTCTGAACCAATCAGATTGCAGCAGTACTACAGTCAGTGTAGCATAATTACATATTTTTTCTCATGTAGTCACACTGTGCACTTTGATTGGCTGTGTGTACATGATGGACATCGCTGGATTCAGACCACTTTGTGCTAGATGATGGAGGAGGCAACTGGGGTGGAAATTATACCTCCCTGGAGTGAATCTAGCATAGTGCATGTGCTTTATGAGCAGAGTTCAAGTTCTGGAAAATTTAGTGAAAAATGTAGGAAATAAATTCATAAGCCTTGAAGGTGACAGCCACTACATCCAACCTTTAGGTTCTCTCACCTTACTGGGTATGTACTTGCATAGTCCACCCTTGAGTTCCTACTTCACTGAGGCCCACCTAGCAATTGAGCTTGTATGATAATTATTGCTCTGCTGGTTGCTCCTTGCAGCAGGGGGAATCACTAAGGAAAAGAGTTTTCCACCAGGAATAAAATTGGATTTTTTTTTTTTTTTAAAAGATGACTGCCAGTTTTCAAGAATTATTTTCTTCTCACCAGCAGAAAGTAACATGGTATTTTAACCAGAGAAGGGCAAACT